TGAAGGAGTCACGATATGTCATGTAACAACACCATGATGTCGTGAATTTGACACCCCTGGCATAGACCTTTAAACGGAATATGCCTAACAGCACAGCATTTAACAAATGGGAAACAATGTTCTTACCTATTGTAGGTTTTATCCTAAAACTGCAGAGCTATAATTATTGATGAATAAATTGAGTGATGAAACCTATGGTAGATGAACACAACTGACTCCTTCAGACATTTTTCCTTGGTCATATGTAAGAATTGCTAATGAGGTTTGTGCCCTATAATCATTCCACTCCTTGATCATTCTGTTCTAATTTTTTCCATAAGGATAAAATATTGTTTCAATACTTTATTCCTGCCTAAAATGTTCCCCCCCCCATAGGAACTGATATATTTAGTCTCCTTTTCACAAACCTTTTAACCATTAATTTTAGATTCAGAAAACAGCTTCTCCTGCCAGAATCAATTTCTATTATAAATATTGAAAGAAGGGAATATCTATAGTCCCATGTTTTTCTATTTTTTAGTTTCTGCCTGTTTATATCTTTCATGAGATAGGAAACACCTGAATTTGTATTTTGAAAAATAATGCGATTTTTCACCATGTTGTTTTTCTTTGATCATGTCAGTAGCATCTTTCTTGCTTCAGTAAGTTAACTGATTACTCAGCTCAAATGCATAATCATTGATGCTATGAAGGACATGTTGCTTAACAGTGGTCCCAGTATTCACTGTTTTTCATTTCATTGCACTACTATACCTCTGCCTAAACCAGGAATGTCCAAACTTGGCAACTTTAAGACATTGGATGGGGAATTCTGGGAGTTGACATTCACAAGTCTTAAAGTTGCCAAAGTTGGACCTAAAACTAAACAGTTAAAGGTTTGCACATTGGAAAAAATGAGAAAGAAAAAGATAGCATTGCATTGTAATCTTTCTATTTACCTTCTGGCTATGTTAAGTGTCAAAAAAAATCATTTCATATCTAAATGCTGAAAAAACCTCTGAATTTTTCTTTAGGCAAGCTTCTGGGTAATCAGTTGGAAGTAAGGTGCATTCGTGTTGTTAGGTTTAAGATTCTTATGGCGCACCAAGAATAATCTGTACCAACATTTTTCCATTTTTGCCTGAAACAGACATAAGAGTACTTCCAGGTTTGTTTGTTTGTTTTGAATTTTCATTTCAGAGAGAGAGACAGATGTATTACAAGAAGCACAGGTTGAAATTATTCCATTATCAACTTGTAATAGACATGACTGGTATGCAGGAATGGTGAAGGACAACATGATTTGTGCTGGCTCTGAAAAAGGAGGAATTGATGGTTGTCAGGTAAAAGAGAATTTCCTTGTTTAGTTATTTGTTTATAAAATGTATTGGCTGCCCATCTTATCACATGGTAACTTTGGTCTGTTACATAATAGATAGCACTTAGTCTTATATCCTGCTTCACAGTGCTTTACAGCCCTCTATAAGCAGTTTACAGAGTTTACAGTCGGTTGCCCCCAACAATCTGGGTCCTCATTTTACTGACCTTGGAAGGTTGGAAGGCTGAGTCAATCTTGAGTCTGGTGAGCCGGCAGTCAGCAGAAGTAGCCTGCAGTACTGCATTCTAACCACTGCACCACCACAGATAAATATTATATCTACGAAAAACATAAATAAGTTAAGACAAGCCAAATGCTACAGTCCAATTAAAGATGGGGAGGGAAGGTGTGGGAACAGAATGGAGGCGGGAGGTGGGATCTGTGGTTAAATTGTGGCCCACCTCCACTGCGATGCTCCCTCGTTGGATCCTTAAACTAACTAGTTTTAGGCTCTCGGGGAAGGTCAGGAGGTTTGGAGCTAACCTTACCCTGGTGGTGCGGGGAGAGACGTTCCAGAGAGCAGAGGCAATGGTAGAGAAGGCCCTTCTGTAATACTTGGGTCGATGGCTGATCAAACATGCCATAAATATTCGATACCATCGACCATGGTATCCTTCTGCGACGACTGCGGGAGGTGGGGGTGGGAGGCACTGTTTTGCAGTGGTTCTCCTCCTACCTCTCGG